AAGGATGGCTGATAATAAGGGGGTCAGAGTCATACAGCACGGAAACAGACCCTTTGGTCTAACCAGTCCATGCTGACTATGTTCCCAAACTAAACTAGTCCCACCTACCTGCATTTGGCCCATATCCCTCCAAACCTTTCTTATTCATGTACTTATCCAAATATCTTTTAAACATTGTAACTGCACTCGCATCCATCGCATCCTCTGGAAGTTCATTCCACACAAAAACCACTTTCTATGTAAAAAAAGTTGCACTTCATGTCCTTTTAAAATCTTTCTCTTCTCACCTGAAAAATATGTCCCCCTAGTCTTGAAATCACCTACCACAGGGAAGGCACACCTGCCATTCGCCTTATCTGGACCCCTCATGATTTTAAAAACCTCTATAAGGTCACTCCTCAACCTCCTAAGCTTCAGTAAAAAAAGTCTTAGTCTATCCAGCCTCTCCCAATAACTCATACCTTCTGTTCCCAGCAACATCCTGGTAAATCCTTTCTGAACCTCTCTAGCACGATAAAATCCTTCCTATGGAAGGGCAACCAGAAATGGACACAGTATTCCAGAACTGGCCTCACAAACGTCCTGCACAGCCTTAACATGACTTCCCAAGATTCGGGTGGCGAAGTTGAGTCAGACAGTCAGGGAGTAGTCAAAGGGTGCGAGGGGAGGAAGTGGTGATGTCAGCATGTTCAATTGCATAGTTACCTCAGTGTTAGAGCAGGATTAGGAATGGCAATGAATGCTGGCCTAGCCAGAGAGGCCCACATCCTGTGAATGAGTACAAGAAAATCTGGCCAGCTGCTACTTAGTGCATTGACTGAAGTGCAGCAATGAGGTGTAACACCCCATGATATGTATTCGTATTGCAATTAGTTCCTAACTCTTTAAGAATAATATAACAAAATAAGTCTCACTTCAAAAAACCTGGAATCATTACATCTTGTTAAATGTGGTGTAACTGAGATTTTATATATTGTACTAACTTCACCATCACTAATGAAAACTCTCACTGGACAGGAGAAAGGAATGTAAAATTCCCCTACAATGATAAAATAATCGACACGTTTAAAACAAAGTACACTTAAAGACAAGTTTCTTTGCTTTTATTTTAGCTTCAATATTACTCCAAATGTGATCAATTCTTTCACCATTGGAAAATTTGAAAGGATATTTAGGCTCAGATATTCCAAGAAGTACAATCACTACTTGTCACTTCATTCCTATTTTCTTCCATCAGTACTGAACTGTTTTCTCTAGCTTAGAATTCAAATTGTGACACCTTCATAAATGTGAAGCATGTCCAAAATCCAGCAGTTCCCTCATACTGCAGGACAGTGGGAGAAGTCAGACTATCCTCTCAAACCATGCAGCATTGTAACAAAACAGAACTGTGAATATTGGAGATCTAAAACAGAAATTCCTGGAGAAATTCAGCAGGTCTGGCAGATATTGCCAGAAATATTGCCAGTTTTGATGAAAGGACACTGGACTTGAAACATTAACTCTGTTTTCTCTCCACAGATGTTGCCAGATGCTGAACAATTATCACAGCGTCTGCCGCTTCTGGAATTCTGTGTGGTCCCCTCACAATGTCATTCTGCGTTATTCCACTGACTAGCTGGCTATTGGAACATCTGGGCCTCAGTGTTTGTTAATTGCTGGCTCGTTGTTTGTGTGTGTGAATGCTGCTGTCTAACGGAACATGCAATTTGACTATGGATGGTCCAAAGATTACTAAGAAAGGATTCTTTATTCCACTGGAATAATCATTGCAAACATGAAAGAAAATTAAGGTTAAAAAAAGGTTTACATGGAATTAAGCCTATGGTTTACACTGGGTTGAAGAACCCTTTGACTGTCTACACTTCCTTTCCATAAGCCCTCCTTTCTTAAAGATATGCATTTTACTACAGAAGATCTGATTACTCCCGCTGACCTCCCTCACAGAAGCCATCTGCTGCTAGAAGTTCCATTACACACTTCCCTACCTGAAATCTGCTGTCTCAGCAATCCCACATAACACACAATACCTGTCTATGAAGCAAATGCGTGATTAGCAGGTTCAATTGTGCTACAATGGCTCGGATGTTTATTAACAATAATATTCTCCTCTTGCATTAGCAATCTGGGCAAGTGGTAAGGTTTGGGGTGATATCCAGCATTTACTTTTTGGCATCTGGTCTGCACTGGTACCTTCAATAGATTCAGGCGCTGGGGCAGGTCATCCATGTTGGGGTCTAAATTGGTTAGTTTTCCAGGTGTCACATGGCACTTGTTGCTTTAGTTGCTGTCTCCTAGCACGTCCCCCTTGCACTGTTTTCCAGTGCAGGAGTAGGCCTCACACTGGAGGCACCCTCTGAACTCATAGCACAAAGTTCACTCCAGGATTCCGCACTGCTATCTGACTCGATTTCACATGGGCTATCGCATGCTGACACATCAGGTATCGCAATACCATTGTGTGAGCTGCTCACTTCCACATGATCCACCAGACTCTGGCCTCTCCCCTTCATCTAAGCCACTTTCTGAGACTCTCTCCAGTTATTTGTTAAACAACATAGTGTAGTCACCGTGTCTAGCTGCTTGATAGCTGTGTGGGGTTCAGGGTCTTACACATCCTTTATCTTATTCTGACCTCTGATATTTTGATTTCAAAGGAATATATGCTTTTGCACTGATTGGAAGGTCAGTCCTGTCAGCCTTGTGATCATTCAATGATTTTCGTCTCAGTGCTTTGCACTCAGTCTCGTGGTGGGAGGCCCAAACTGCTGTCTCAGCAACCCCACATAGCACACAGTATCTGTCTTATGAAACAGGCGTGTGATTAGCAATAATATTCTTCTCTTGCATTACTGATCCGGGCAATTGGTAAGGTTTGGGGTGATATCCAGATATCTATCTAGTGAGAAAGGAAGGGTCTGTATTGTGTTGGATCTCTGTGCCTGATGGCAGCGGTGGCTGTAGTTGTTGAGAGAAAGCTTGATTGAAGTGCCCAGCCCTGTCACAATACCAACATGACTTTGGAACATCCCTTGGATGGAATTGGCTGCAGAGAATATACTGAAGATAGGGATCTGTGTGATAATCTGTTCTATGTGCCTCTTCAACCTTAGGTTTAGACCCCCATTCACTGACAGTCATCCTTCTGGTGGCAGCGTTGTTCTGGGTCTTAAGTGTTCAATCTTTCCCCATGGTCTGGATGATATGATCTCAAGTTCAAAGAAAGATAATTGAAGTCTGTTACTATTAAGCATCCTCAACTCCATTTGATGTTCCCATCCTCGCAGCTTCTACTGAATGGCCCTTCAGATGTCTGTCCCTGGAGAATGTGAAAGAGGGACCTAGGATGATGCACTCAATCAACTTCACCAGCTCCAGCAATACAGAGACCAGATCCCCTCCTTTGACTTGTCTATACTTAGAAACTCTCTGCTGTAGCTTTGCGAGGATACCACTATCCCCTAAAATCCTTGTTAGTACCTCAACCGTCTGTCACAGGCTTCTTTGAACATCTGTTCCTGTTCCCAGGCTTTCCTGACTGACATTCCCACACAGGAGTGTGGGGTCGCCACACCCACGATCGCCACCTGCTCACATGCATTGAGGCCCCTGGACATCACAGCCAGCTTCATCTGGATCAATGGGTGTTTATGGTCTCATCTCGAATCTGTCCAGCTTCTTGCTTATTGGCGAGTAGAATATTTGACCAGGAGAAATGCTTCCTTCTTCCAGAGGGTTAAGCAAATGCACTTGGGTATCTTATGCTAGGGTTTGGCCTAAAGGTCAGATTCCTTCTGCCAATACCTGAGTCTCCAATGATTCCAGAGCAGTTTCAGCCTCCCTCATGGTCATTGCCAGTTTCAACTCCTTCACCATCTACTCCATCTCAGCCATGCGCCTTTCAGCATCGTCCATCGTGTTGTGGAATCCTGCTGACTACGCCAGAAATGTAACACGAAATTAGAACACACAGATGGCCGAAAGATCATGAAATGGGAATTCTTTATTCCACTACCATCAGGTCATGACAAACCTTAGGGGGAATTATGATCAAATAAGGAATTATTTACATAGAAGGAAGTGGATTGAAGACTCATTTGTCTAGGCATTCCTTCTTCCCATGAGCCTTCCTTCCCCAAACACACCCTTTGTACCCCAAACAGAACGCTCCATCTCCCCTCCCTATTGCCCTCTGCTGCTGGAAGTCTCCACATAACTGTTCCAGCTCCCCCCACTCAGCACCTTCCCTCACTATCGCCACCTACTGCTGGATGTCCCTACACAACTGCTAGAGCACCCCCACATTAAGTATGAGTTTATCTGCTTACTGATTTCACTAATGCTGCGTGCCAGGAGACTCCTTTGAACTGTGGTAGACTTAAATTGGCATGGGGGAGGTGTGGGCACAGTGCTTGCAAGTATCAATGAGTACATGTGGATAGCCTTCTTTGAGCTCAACAGTGAATGCAATCTATTTGCCTTTGGCTAGAAAATCCAATCGCACAAACCTCCAGAAACACACAAAACAGAGCTGGCAAATTAAATTCATTTCTGAATAAGGGTCTAGGCCCGAAACGTCAGCCTTCCCGCTCCTCTGATGCTGCTTGGTCTGCTGTGTTCATCCAGCCCTACACCTTGTTATCTTAAATCTGCATATCTGCCTACATTCAGTATTGTCTCCGTTGCCAGCATTGCTAGGATGGCCGAGGATTTTTTAAAAAATTATTATTTGTAAACAGCTCTTACTAGTTTGCGCTAGCGTGTAACCTCACTGATTCATGAAACAGTAAAAGGCACATGTGGGGCAACGTGCAGATGTCGGCAGGCGTTGCAAAGCCCAGAAGCCGTCGAGGGGATTTCGTGGTTGCGTGGAAGTATGTATCCAGCACTCTGAAAGCGATTCGCAGTTTCGGCTTCTCTTGCCTCGCAATGAAAATGCGGAAACTGCTACTGCTTTTGCCTGCAGTTCCTAAAGTGAGTGCGGAGACACGTGTCGGCCGCTGGGGGGAAGGGAGGGAGCCAGTGGAACTTATAATTGCTACACTTTACCCCTTACATCGCGAATTGTGACGTTCCTCGGCTACTTTGTACATTCGCTTTCTTTTAGTCGGAAACAAATCCCACTTTAAAGGCACAGACTCACAGCCGCATTACTTCTGTTGGCAGATGCTTAATATGAAGTAGTTCAGGGAATAAAAACATGGAGCCTGCAATCAAATTAAAGCCTGGTAGGGTTGGTACTTCAACAATGTTTTAAGTTTTTGCCGACACGTATGGCCATTGAATTATACTCCTTTGAAAGAATGTTGTGATGTACTTAACTGATATAATTCCGAGCAGATCTCTGCAAATTCTGGTCTCCTAAATAGGAATTTAATTCTTTGCTACTCCTGGGGCGAATTTAGTGGTGGGGACATTTAATCAAGTGGGAGGGTAAAGGTTAGGGTTACATGCAAGTACATTTTTTTGTCTAGCTGCCAGCTGTGGCTCTTCAATGCCCCAATCCAAGAAATACAATTGCATTGTTTACTGTTATTAACCCAGTTTTGGCGGGTTGTGTGGGGAGGAGGGTAAGGGGGTGAGAGAAGCGTGCAGAGGGAGGGGTTGAGGAAAAGGGGAAGCATTGGGGAGGGGAAGAAGGTGTTGTGGGGAAGGGGTGAGAATGGGGCTGAGAAAGGGATGTTGGAGGAGGGGAGAGAAGGGCATTTTGGTGGGGAGAGAAGGGGATGAGGGATGAGGGATGAAGGGGGTGTGGGGTTACGGTGTAGGGATGGGGGGGGAAGAGAGGAGTGGATTAGGACACGGGAGAGGGGCTTGGGGAAGGGAGTGTGGTTTTGAGAAAGGACTGGAGAGGGGATGGCGGGAGAAGGGGAAAGAATGAGTGAGGGGAGGTGGGGATGGGGATTTATTCAGAAACATTTCGGTCTTTGGAATTAATTACCCTATATAGTTGTGGATGCTGCATCATTGAATATAATTTGGGCTAGGATAGACAGATTTCTTTTTGCTCCCAGGGAAGGAAGGGGGTATAAGGTGTGAAGAAGAAGGTGAACTCAAGGTAGAAAATCCGTCATGATTGTACATAATGGGGGAGGAAGCTTACGAGGCTCTGTGGTCTATTCCAGATGCTACAGTGTTCTTGTGTACTGGGGCATTTAGTGAAAACCTGCCCCTTCATTATTTTTGCAGAGATAGTAGGAACTGCCGATGCTGGAGAATCTGAGACAACAAGGTGTAGAGCTCAATGAACACAGCAGGCCAAGCAGCATCAGAGGAGCATGAAAGCTGACGTTTTGGGTCTAGACCCTCCTTCAGAAATTGGGTCTAGACGTGAAACGTCAGCTTTCCTGCTCCTCTGATGCTGCTTGGCCTGCTGTG